ACCCAAATGGAATAAAGGAAGGGATGGAGGCAAGGGACACAATGGAGCGAAGTCAAAGCTACCTTGGCACTGGCAGATTGAGAGAGAGAAGGGAGGTAGTCAGACCTTGATGAGGGAATAGAAGAAAAACTAAAAACTATGGGGACAGGGGGAGAGATCAACCAACCCAAGTCAGAACTACACAGAAATGACTAGTGACCTAACTGTACAGAGCAGACCTAGGAGAATTTAAGGACAAGTGGAAAGCAAAAAAGCTCTTCGGCTCAGTCTCGCAAAAGAATCTCCTCTTCATCTCTGCCCCTCATCCCCCTTAATGGAAACTTCATCTCCAGCCTCACCCCACACACACCTCATACACTTTTATTACCACCTTGAGTGGACCAGAATGCTGCCTTCATTGTTCTTCAAAACCTAGTTTAAATGTCACCCTTTCCAGGCCTCCTGGTGGTACAAGGGATTAAGCACTTCACTATGAAGCTGTCCACAGCCACTGCAGCATAAGCTCAATTCCTGGCCAGGGAGCTACTTACATGGCCCAGCAGACCTCTCCTGTCCCACCCGCTGCTCCCCTCAGCAGTGTATTTCAGTCAAACCACCTGTTCTGCTCCCCAGTCTGTCTCTGATGAATCCTCTCAGCCCCCGCACCTCTGGCCTGTACCCCAGTCCCTGTATGTATAAATAAATAAATCTTTTAAAAAAAATAAATAAGGTCACCCTTTCTGTGAAGCTTCTCCAGCTTTCCCAGGCAGAGTTACTAGGCCTTCTTCAATATTTTCAGAACACTTTGTTCTAAATATTATCATAATGTTGAACTGCAATGTCTGTCTCCTCTAATAGTTTTTCACCTGCAACTCAGGTAGTGGATTCAATAGTAACGACAAAAATCCTTACTAAAAAACAGTTTTGAAAACATAACGAATCCACTTCACCTTGCACAGCACAGCAGGAGGCTGGAAACCTTGCTGTTTTCAAAGATTCTACAATAAACCTGTTCTATAAGAGTATCTCTATCCTCCCCCTAATTCCTTCCCATAAATCAAGGAATAATTTTTTTGTTATATTTTTACAATGCTTTAAATTTCTCAGTAAATGGCAAATATTTAACAGAGAAGGCAAATTCCATCAGGAGTGCTGTATATAGCAGTAAAAGGAGCACCCTGAACTCTGAAAGACAGGACATTAGATGGAAGAAAATTAGGTACAACAGGAGCCTGGAGAAAACTGCACAAGAAATCAGCAAGTTCATGATGCTGTCATAGAAAACGATCAAAGTCAACAATACCCAAAGATAAGTGAAAACACGACTTTGTAACAAAATATGTTAAAGTGGTTTCCTGTTAAGAGGACAAGATGATAGAATGATTAGAACTGCTGGTAATTCATAGGGAGATGAAAAGTTTGGAAAGCTGCTTAGGGAGAATTCCAATATAGCTATTGAAAGAAAAGTTGCAAACTGGTAAAAGGGTACATGAGCTGGTGACAGAATGGGACAGCACTACAGTCACAAAGTATCACTACAAGTTCCCTGCACCAAACTCTCCCCAAGGCAGCCATTCCACCACCCCCCCCCACCCCCGGCCACCAGGGAAAAACAGACTTACTAGCAAACATTACTTTTCAATGCTTCCCCCAAAAGAGGACCCTGTTATACAGAGGGAACAATTATCCCAAATAATAAGCGGTTCCACACACATTTGCCAAACACCAGAGACAAATGTGCCACGCAGTACTGACAAATCCAAAGAACAAAGCACAACTTTTTTGTACCTGGAGGGTGTATTGAACAAAGATAACTAATGGAATGTATCTGAAAACAAACTAACAAAAGAATTTGAGGGATTTTTACATATCATCAAAATAGCTTCTCTATAAACTCTCATAAAAGCAATGAAGGCTTTTTGAGCAGATAATTAAAATTCTTCCCTTTCAACTAAGAAAGCCCAATATCTCTACTAATAGTAGACTTTATTACCTTCCAGAGAAGTAGTTTTTAGCAATTAAGAGTTTCATCTATTTAAGTAGTTCAGAAGCACTAGAAGGTGTCTGGCACAAATGAGAGGTGCTGGGAATAGGGAAATAAGAGGCAGACTTTGACCTCAAGGAGCTCACCCTTAAATGGGTAGAGAAATACTGCAGAGTGAGGCAAGTGCTAATAAAAACAAAATGAGAAGGACTGAAACTGAGAAAGAAAAGAAAATCAAATCCAGATTTGTGAGGTGGCTCCATGCAGACTAAAGTATTAACATATTCATAGTAGCAGAGCTTGAGAACACAATAACAATTTCCCAATATCCCTCTGTGAGACAGAAAACATTAATCCCCACTATTACAAATGAATAAAGTGAACTATCCAGAGTCACCTACGAAGCTTGCAATACTAGAAACTAGATTATAGTCCATGTGATCCTTTTCAATTTTAAAAGATCAATACATTCTTCTTTCTAAACTTTCATGTTTGCACTTGAAATCTAGCTCAACTCATCAAAAACTGGTGATATATTAGATAAAAACAAAGCAAGAAGCTATCTATGAAGAAATTAAGTATGTGCCTGTGTGATATTTTTAGGACATGCTGTCTCTACTTCGGTGGGCACGTAGCACCACTTGACATTTTTCAAGGAAGGTGAGGTAAGGCAAGTTCTATCTTTTTGGGTTTTGTCTGAAAAAATATCTTACCCTACTTAAGTAATTCTACAAACATCTCCGGCAATAGCACAATGAATGTCACTTAAATTAACTGCATGTCAAATATGAGTATAAGAGCTAAATGTGTTTATTCGCTTGACTAACATCTTTTGAAACAGCTATTCAGTTTTGTTAGGAATATGCTAATGCACCTCTAAACTCAATAGTATCATGCCCTTGAATATATTAAAGTTCATACATTAATATATTAGGCATCATATCTTAAAGGCAAAGTTTTTCAATCAGGAACATATCTCTAAAATAAACAGGACTCAACACACCAACATTTGCTTTAAACAGTTTTTCCAGAAATTATCTATTTGCAAATAAAATAAAAAGGATAACATTGCCATGTGCTATTATTAAAATTATTCAAAGCAAGAGATAATGTACATTATGCAAGTGCTCAAATATTATCCAAAGCACATGTCTACATATTCTACAATATGGTAACATCCACTACGGCAACATCTGAGTACTTAAAACGAAGTGATTGAGATCTTAGAACAGGGGTTGACAAACAAGCTATAGATTTTGACCATAGCTTGCTCGTTCTTGTGAGGTTTTACTGGCATAGTCTGTGGCTATTTTCATGCTACAATTTGTAGAGTTGAATAGATGTGACAGAAACTATATGGCTTGGGACCTCCCTGATGGCGCATGGGGTTAAGCATCAGCACTATCAAGGACTCCGCAACTACTGCAGCACAAGTTCGATCCCAGGCCCGGAAGGTGACCCACATGGCCCAGCAGACCTCCTCTCTCTCGCCTGCTGCTTCTCTCAGCAGCGTGTTTCAGTCAATCCGCCAGTTCTGCTCCTTACTCTGTCTCTGGTGAACCCTCTCACCCCCCTGCACCTCTGGTCTGTACACCAACTCTTGTATGCATAAATAAATAAATCTTTAAAAGAAAAAGAAACTATATGGCTCACAAAACTTACATATTCATTACTGGACCCAACATAGAAAGTTTGCTGAACCCCATTTAAGAACCACCAGAACCAACGATCTAACAAACTCACTTCTAGCCTAGAATTTATCTATCTTGCAAGATGAGCAACTGAATATGGTAAAAGAGTCAGAATTCTTTCCCAAAACATCCAAGTACAAACCCACATAGAAACAAACCTCTACTGATTCATTCAAAATCTGTAATACTGAATACAAATTTTTTTAAATAGTGAATATAATTTTTATCTTTTTAAAACTGATACATCAATAAAATTACATACAAGCTCATTAAACTGTCAATGTCGCTTGTATTTAGTTAACCACCATCAGGAGCGATACTAGGTATTCCTTTACTCCTCATACTGAAGAATCCACATGCAACCAAACAGAACATATCATTGTAAAAGTTTGTTTTCACCTGTATGACAAATAGAATGGGGATGACAGGTAAAGCATCAAAAAACTCTTCTTGTGAATGTAGTTAGCCTCTTCTATTCTTACCACTCTAAAATCTCAAAGCAACTATCTCATTTAAATAAAAGAATGACACCCAAATAAGTCCTAGTGGATCTATCTGCCATTCTTAGAATAAGAGAACATTTTGTTAAATATTCAATGCTAACTGAATTTATCAACCAATGGAACAGTAAAAATGGCATTGAGTAAGTATTCCAAGTATCAATGAAGGTTTTAAGGTTAGCGATAGCTTTTTTATAATTAATGATGGTATTTTAAAGCACTAGGATTTGGAAAGCCAACACAATACTAATCAATGAAATAACAACTGGTTAAAAAAAAGTAATGTTTTTATTTGCTGTAAAAGTTATGTTTAAGATCTGGAGTCTATCAAAGAGTCAGTGATTAGTTTTACATAGTCTACATAGTTTACATAGAACTGTGAACAAAACATGTCAAATTACTACAGAAATGGCTAACCCATTTATTTACCAATTGTTATCTTTCTTCAGCTAGCAAAATAGGAGATAATGCAAATTCCTAAGCAAACACAGTCTGAGGCTTGTTCCCACCCAGAAGTGCTTAACCAAAGATGCAGCCACAGCCTGGAACCGTTGACAATACCAATGGAGTCACCGATTATAACTGATGGTAACACAAGGCTAAATTAAGCATTTTTAAGGTCAATAGAATGCCAAAACAATCACAACACAATTAAAGTGATTTTCTAATTAGTCATACCACCCACCTCCCCAACCACCATCTTTGGTATTACTCCTAGCTTTGTATTACAGGAAAATGGGAAGAATATTTAAAAGTACAAGTGACAACCAGTTTACCAAGGTCACAAAATTTCCATAACAATCTCACTTTCTGCTTAAAAACACAGACCTTCATCCTATTTCTCACCTGCGAAGTATTCGAAAGACAAAGTTCTAAAAACCCTTCAAATCTAATTAATTTTCTCAAGGCTCACTTCTCTCATGAAGTTGATTTACATGCGCTACCAATTAATGTGAGCAGGAGGGTTGAATTAATATTAACACTAGGACAGGCACAGAGGGCCCGTGCTTAATCTTTAAAAGGCATCCTGATGAAAAATGGAAACCCCGCCCTGCCCTTAACTTTCTCGGCTTTTCTAGTTCTGGTTTTCTCTGGGCAAGATCCAGGAAAGCAGAACTTCCTTCTCAGTGCCTGCCTCTAGCTGAGGCCTGGTGCAGAAATTCAGAACACTAGTTATCCAAGTACCTCCTTAAGGTAGTCTTAAGGCTCAAGTCCGCTCAGAAACAGCAGAAAGGTTTGCTTTCTTGGGCGGGCAATTACAGGGTATGGCAGCCGGGTTTGTCAGGAAGCGAAGGGCCGAGACAGAGGGAGACTCCAGAGACTGAGCTCCATATCTAGTCCCAGGAACCACCCCCAGGGGCGGGTGGCCTGCCTTCGGTACTTCCCTGCCTCCTCTGCTCGGGTGGGGAGTGCGGGCTCAGGCTCTCCTGAGCTACTTCCAGGTCCGATGGGACTCGCCTTCGGACACCAGAAACGCCCCCGGCCCGGCTCCCTCGCCCTTTGCCCTGTCTCCTCCCCTCTCGGTGACCCACCACCACCGGTCCCCTCCCATCTAACATGGCCGCCCCACCCGCCCCACCCCCGGTACAGCCGAACCAATTGGGGCTCAGCGGCACCGCCTCCCCTGCTCCCATTGGCGAAGCCGCCTCCACCCGCCTGCCCCATTGGAAACAGGGCCTGCCATTCCGCGCCGAGGACTCCGCCTCCCAGCCGCTTCAAGCTGCTTTGAGAAGACATATAAACAAATCCCGAGAGGGCGGCCCCTCTCGCCCGTCGCTGGGGCGGGGACGGGAAGAGGGGGGCGACTACCCCCGAGCCACCCCTGCCCGGGGCCCCCCAACCCCAGCCCGCGCCTCCTCGTCTCCTGCCAGCCGGGTTCCAACCTTCGCGGCCCTGGCCCTTCCTCACACGCCCCTCTCTCTCCTCCTCCCCCGCCAGCCTCGCCTCCCCTCCCTTCGCCGGCCCCTCCCACCCGCTCGCTTCTCTGACAGGCCGGTTGCCGGCAGCCACGGCCTCCCGCTCACAGGCAGCGGTGGAGGACCCGGCGGCGTGGCGGGGCGGACGCCCGGCACTGCCCACCCCTGGCCTAGCCTGCCGCCAGCCCGTGGGTTCCCTCTACCGCCGCCCCGCGCTTTTATATAACCGTCCCGGGCCGGGGGTGGGGGAGGGGAGCCGAAGCCCCCGTGACCGGCCAGCGGCAGCCTGCGGGCCGCGCGCCCCTAGACTCGGCCCTGGTCCCGGCCCCCGCCCCGCGCCGGCCCGGCCCAGAGCCCCGGCGCTGCTGACTCCTAGGCCGGCGGCCCTCCTCCGCCCCCCGCTCGGCTGGTTCCCCAGCCCAGGTCCCGGCGGGCTCGGGGCGGCGGGCAGCGGCGCTCACCTGCGGGTGTGGAGGCGGCTCAGGGGCTGAGTCCAGTTCCGCTGCAGGGGCCGCGGCCCCTCTCCATGCTGCCTCGGGTTTGTTTTGTTTATGTCCTTCCTGACGGGTTCCCGGAAATCGCGTGACTCGCCCCCCTCACGTGGGCCGCGGCGAGGAGGAGGAGGGAGGCGGGGGCCCGCCGACCTCGGGCCAATCGCGAGGCGCTCTGCAGCCCGACCAATCAGGGGCCCGAGCCGGCCAGGCACCCTCGTCACCTGACGCCGGAGAGGCGGGTTGCCGGGAAAAACCAGGAAGAGGGGGCGGAGCGGGGGCTCGCCGTCTGCCGCTGCAGCGTGGGCGTGGGGTGTGTTTGACACCCAGCCACACTCACGTTTGTAAGCGATGTTCGTTTACAGAGGTTTGCACAGCCACCGTTTTAAGTTATCTCTTTAGCTACTCGGTGAGGCCGGATGTGTCCGTATATTTCCATCTTAAGGTCACTGAAACTTGAAGGGGCTAAAGGTTTAATAAAGAGTATTCATTTAGTAGGGGGGTTGTATCGACCTCGTTCATGACTGTCTTCCCCATCTGAACCTCTTAACTCACTGAGACTCACCTTGCCTCACTGTCATGCAACATTCAATTTTTATTGCTCACATATGCCCTAGACGGAGGAATCAACAGGGCTGTGGATCTTTGAGAGAGACCACACAACTGTGCAGAATGCTACGAGTAATGTCTGCCAAACAAACCTTCGTAACATATGGGCCTGAGGTTTTCTTCTGCTCCCTAGTCCTGTTCGTAACAACAGCGACCCTTTATTGAATGTGTACCATGTGATGGGCTTTTCTCAGTTCTCCCCACAAGCACGGGCAATTGTAAGACACCAATTTTTCAGATGGGAAAATTAAAGTTTAGAGGAATTAAATTACTTGCTCAAGTTCCCACAGTTAAGTGACCCACTTTGTTACCCTCTGTACTTCCAGACTGCTCTTTATACTCCTTAAAGGAACCGAATTTATCTTCTGAGAACAGAAACTTGATTTTAGTAAACAGAGGTAAAGAATTGGGTGACAGAATTGTTTGTTCAGATTCCTTAAGCATGCCAGTTTTCTCTTTGGAAATGTGGCTCCTCTTTGCACAGATCTAGGGAAGCAGTAGAACGTAAACGTTGACAATTTTGGACTCAAACTTCTACAGATCATAAGCTTCAAGAGGTTAGGGACTAGCCATGTAATTGATCCTCTACATGCCATGTCAACATAGACAGTCATTAAATACTGTTTGAATGTCAACCTGTATTTTTCATGCTTGTTCTGCTCTGTGTGAACCAGTACAAATTATTAACCTCTGTAAGGCTCCTCTGCAAGTACCTCATGGAATCGATGTGAGAATTCAGTGACATCTTCTAAGACACTTACAGTGTTTAATGAGTGGTAATATTAGATTGTTCAAGGACCCCATTTAGAAGAGTTACTGTAGACTTAATAGCAAGTAAGGTTAATTCTGGGCTTCAGAAGTGTAACAGCTACTAACAAAATACTTTTATATAAATATAAATAGTGAGTCGATGTATTCAATAGATACCTAAGAGGAAAGTAGAAGAAAATCGCACCTCTATCCTCCACAATGCCCAGCACATAGTAGGGCCTCAGTGCTCAATGAAGGAATGAGTCTTTTCCCTAGTGTACATTGAAACCCCAGTAGAAAAACCTAGCTTGGGAAGTTTGAGCCAAGTTCCTCTCATTCATCCTCCCATATGAGATTCATGCATTAAATCTCCATGGAATACATCAGGGACTATTCTCTCTCTCCTAATACTATTTCTGGAAAAGTTCCAGCAGATGGTTAGCTCTTCCATTATTACACTGCCCTCTGGACATAGGTGCGTTCACCACCCCTATTCTGTTCCTTGGGGTCAAGGAACAGGCAGATTCTTCTCTTAGGGCTAGGCTCTGCCCACTGAAGGCACTTACCAATGAATTAAATTGGATTCCTGCCTTTGCATTGCCTGTTGTCTTGGAAAGGACTGAGTTTTGGCTAATAGAGACCTTCCCATTAAGGTTTGTTAACCACTATATCCTGCTCTGAAGTGAATGAAATCACTGACTGCTAATTGATTTGTGTTTCTCTGGGGTTTTTTCCTGCCAGATTGTGCCACAAAGTTGGCAGGAAGCTGGGACTCTGGAATAGCACTGACTTGAGGTTTAAGAGGCTCTTCTTGTTCTAGCCACAGAGTGGTAACCTACTGCCACTGGCACTTCCAAAGTACTTAACCTTGCTCCTGTAGAATCATATATGTGCTGGGGTGGCCTGATTCAGAAAACTATTCTACACAAACATGAGGCAAAGAGGAAACAAAACAAAACTTAGGACTCCATTGAATTCTTAAAAATAAATATTCTATTTCCAGATTAGGTAACATACATACACAGTACAGAATTCAAAAATTATGAAAAGGTATTTAGTGAATACTAAATCTCCTCTGTGCCCTGGCTCTTCATTTCTCCTTCTCAGAAGCAACTACAATTACCCACTCTCTGTGTATTGTTCCAGAGATAGTCTTTGTCTATGTAAACATTTCACCTTAAACCTCAATGTATGTGGAACACTGTTCTTGGACTCAAGACCCCAATTTGAGCTGTGCAAGGTCCCGGGTGAGGGGCTGGACCTCTCTGGGTTGCAATTTCTACACCATGAGGAATCTGGACTAGTACTGTATGTTCTCTGTGATTCTTTAACATTCAGTTTTCCAGAAAGAATGAAAACAGCTGCCATAGGGTCCTAACTTCCCTTTTGACCTAAAGTTTGTAGTGTGTGTAAATCATTAGAGTACAGATTGAGCCCTGCCTGCAGATCACGTACATGTTTGCTAAATGAGAATTATCCTTGTGAGTCAAAACGTTTTTCTTTCCTGACCCCTCTGGACCTGTGTGGTATGTTAAGATTTCACAGCTTCAGAAGTGAGATTAATTAACTCAAAGCTGGAAAAATCCAAGAAAAGCTGTGTCCCTCTGACACTTTTAAAAACGGACTTGCTTTCTGAGAAGACTAGAATATTGCTGAGGTTGAATGTAAAAGAGATACGAATTGATGGTTGACAATGGGACTCATCCCTTCATTCATCTCTCCTGAAAAAAATTCTTAGGCAGAAGAATAAAGATCACTTCTTTCCATTGGTTTAACCTCTCAATAGGATGCAGTGTCTTTATGTAAGAGCTCTGACGGGTTTCTTCTCCTAAAAAGCACCAGGTTCAATCCCACATGCCTGCCCTAGTCTATCATTTACTTACATACCCTGATTCCTCATTCTGTAGACCCAGAACCAGGCCTGCTGTGGGATAGAAAGTGAATGACTGCTTGTGATCTAAATGCACAGGTTAACATCGAAATCCCATTCACCCTATTCCATGGCTCAAGATGCCAAAACTTCTATTAAATCTACTTCTATCAGGTTTATGTCTGTGCCCATTAATTCTCTACCACTCAGTTGAGTACTGGATGTACTTCTTGCTTTGCAGTATTTCTATCATGAGTGTTGATAGTATTTTCTCAATTAAATAAAATGGCATAAATAGCAATGCAACCTTGAATTATGGAGAATGGGGGACATGTCATTAGACAGCATAGTCAAGCCTGCGTTTAGTGATGGGTTGGGAAAGGGAAGGGAGAGAAATAAAGAAACTGACGTTTGTTGGGTGCCCGCTCTGTACATGAAGCCACAGTCCTTGCCCTGGATTCACCGATAACCTGATGGCTTGTAAAGCTCACAATACAACACTAGAGCTTATAAGAGGGGAGCCCCTGGCACAGATGTTAA